GTTTTGATACGCCTTTAGGCGTATCGTGTTCATGGGGCATTATTAGCCCTTATGCGGCAGGAATGACTCTTAAGGGCCCGATCCGCGATCCTTCGCGCCGCGACTTCGAAACATTTTGCACATTTTAAATCCTGCTCGCGAGAAGCGACTTGTCCACGATGACATCTTCGCTTTACTACATGTTTACTTTTTTTCTTTATATTCATATTTATTATGCTATTATCTATTTGCACAAGTACTTAATTTAATAATAAATTATTTATTTTCGCAAATTCTTTACACTGTTTCAAGATACTACTTAGTAGCATCAATATCATTAAGTTGTTATTTAATTTAATTTGTGATATTTTCCTTACAAAATATTAGACAATTTATACTGCAATAATTAATTACTTATTTGGAGTATTAAAAATACTGTACTATTTTCAATACTTAAAATAAGTAATTAATTACTTTCAATATTAAATTAGATTTTTGTAAGAATATTATTCCAGTTTCAAATTAAGATTGCGTTCCAAGATCAAAAATTAAACCAAACGCGCAATTTACAGAACTGGATATGTATATAAAAGTCTTACAGAAATATCATAAGCACTAAGCTCGAACTCGCATCAAATAAGATATTTTCCTACTTAGTCGGCGTCAGTTGTGTTATTCACATATCGGACTAACGTCATTTATTGTTATTTAATATTTGATGAACCGTGTAATATTCAAATCAAACTAACTTTTTACACTTTTTTTGTTTTTATTTTTTTTTCCAGAGTCTGGCCACAGGTTGGACAGCGGCTCCCCGTTTTGGAGGATTCAACTTGACCAGGACCTTCTGGATACCATCAGCGCGATCTATCCGGAGTGGTTTAAGGTAAGGCTTATTTTACCCTTCTCTCGCGCCATACCAGAATCAACATATGCTCATTGAACGAATGCGGGATAACGAGGTACGCTCGTACAGGATTACACTAACAGTCGAGCAGCATCGACGTCGTCCCCTATATCCGCAAGCGCTTCCGGCGCGCAATCCTGCAACGACAGCACCGCCGTGGTCGTCGTCACCGGCGGTGAGCACAAGGTCGCCAAAAGCGACGCCAAGTCGAAGTCGAAAGCGAAAAAAGCGGACGGCCATAAGGATAAGGATCGGGACAGGAAGGATCCTAGGCGCGACGCCAAGGACGAGAGGTGAGATAATTTGCGTGCTGTATGTAGATTACACGACGTGGAGAGCAAGAAACTGAGACTCACCAAGGTGGAGAAGGCTTGAGTTATATCGACCGAATGTCAATAAAACCTTGTAAAATGAGGAGAATATCCAAGTCGCGTTATCATCTTCCACCAGCTTCCACGCGAGTATAACCGGTATGCACGCGTCTCGCGTACAAATAGAAGTAATGGATAAAGTACGCGTGTTCTCGATCGCACGCTGGGCGTAAGGTAGGGCGTTATCGTGATCAAGAAATAGACGCGTCGTCGCTCGGCACCTGCCTCGATTATTTTAACAAGCTCCACGAACTCCTCCCTGACGCTTTGTCGCCCATCACCCGCGTCATTATCTCAGGAGACGTTATTTCTATTAGGGCATTGCATGCACCGCGCCGATCTTGCAGAAATGCAGCAGGAAGAAGATAACTTACTAAGTAGCTGATTATCGGGTTCGAGAGACACTCTCGCCTGAGTCTTGCAACTCTGACAAAGATTCTAAAACGCAGAAACTTAGATCTAATAATAATATTTTAGTGCTAATGATATTAATACTTTGACTAGGTATATCTGAGTAACGCATGACTTTCCGCAAGAACCTCGTTATCTATTTGTGAGTCACGGTTTTATATCTACCTACCCGATTCAGAATGATTTATTATTATTATTTTACTTGTAAGTGTGTGTTGAAGATATTTAAATACAGTCTGACAGTTAAAATGTTTTAATTCGCACTTAAATTTAACAGTCAAACATAATTCTATAACTGTAATATCAAACAAGGACTACGCGAGATGATAAAGCCCTGAATTAATCTTTTCATTAAAGCTTCTGTTCATTCTATCATCGTTATATTACTATCTCAAATTCTGATGTCAGAAGCGAGAAGTTATATAATAATTCTTGCAGAATAAATTAATATGGAAAATTAATATGTTTTTAATAAAATAACACTAATTACAATTTATAGAATAAAGTTGTAAAATATACATAAAACTCTCTTCTTGTTTTGTTAATTTATAAAAAATTTATACCATATATCGGGAAATGAATTATGTATAATAAAAAAAAACGAAATAAGCTACATTCATAAACTGTCAAATTAATAACATATAGAAATAGATATGATTTAATTTCTCCTCGTCTCCAAAACAAGATAATATACTTTATAAATCTAGTCTATCGATTGCAAATGCTGTTTTATTGAAAAACACCTCTATTTAAACATAATTTGCAAAAATTTTTATTGTGTGTTTTCTCTGACAGCATAATTTGAAATAGTAACGATAATTAACCAAGAATCTTATAAATTAGATAATATCCGATTACTTGAGCAATGTTTAATTTTAAATAATAATTAAGCAGTTTGACTTAAGATTTTTTTCTATCGTAAGTCGCTTAAATGAGAGGCAGCAGGATTAGTGTTCTCGCGGACCTCCGCACACCTCAATTCACTGTTGCGAGTTGCGAGATCGCACGAAATGCTAGGGCCGCGCCGAACGGACGATTAACTCGCAATTTAGTATCAGTACCATGTGTAATCGTTACGCGAGAATATAAACGCTCTTAACAACCGGCTTCCTATCTCCAGCTGTGACGAGTAATCTTTTCTCGGAACTTTCTCCTCGGCGTACTTAAACTCATGGGGCCGTTGGTTCTCGACGCTTTAAAATCTTTAATCGGCTCCCTAACTTCTCTCTACGTATGGATTCCACGCAAAGCGCCGTTCGTGCAATTTTCTCTGAACTTTTCGTGAGATAAAGTACCGAATAAGCAGATCTTCTGCGTGACATTTCGCTCGCGACACGACATTCTCGTGACCATCTGGATCCATGAAGCTCTCACGGAACTATCGTCAGGTCTATCAAGATAAATGTGTTCACCCTTCGATGGTTAAAACGCTTATTCTTATCCTTTCGAAGAAGAAACGCGACTCGATATTCTCTCTATTATACTAGGATTATTCACATTCACGCGCGTTTATTTTATAAAATTTACTTTCATGGCACATATTATTCACATTATCTGAAAACGAGAGTTAAAAAGAAATACATTGTGTTAGAATGTATTTCTTCCTAACAATTCAATTTTAATTGAATACGATATTCAATTCTTCATTATTAAATATTTTGAATTTCTATGATAAAAATATCGTTGAAATTCAAAATATTTGATATTGAAGAATTAAATAATGAAAGAAAAATTCGATACGTTAAACATTTTCTCTCGTATAACGTTAAATTTACTTTCCATATATTTCAAAATAATACAGTTTATTATATATCTCTTCATTTTATTTAAGACTAAGCCAGTTCATGGAAACGTTATTTCTAGTTTTTAGTTTATTTAAGATCGAGTAGGGATACACACTCGAGATATAAACTCTCGTAGATATAGCTCGACGTCATTTATTTCTTGCTCAATGAAGATTCGCGCTCGGAGAGAAGGAAAGACCGACCGTTTCCGATTTCGCTTTCTGATGGAAACGTCGTCCGATCGAGTGTCGATTGATCCATCATTCCGTCATCCGCGGCAAAAACATGCCGCGAAGGATCCGGGATTCGATTGACACTGGAGCGTCGATCGGCAGGGCAGGCTCGATCAGTCCTCCTCTCTTCGAGCCGATGTATGAAAGATTAATTCACAAAACGGCAACGTTTTGCTCCGTTTCGGTCCGTTCTTCGGACCTGTAGGGACGCTGGAAACGGTAAGAAAGGGACGAAGCCTTCGCCGCAGCAGGATAAAGCAGCGGCGGACGCGACAGGAAGGAAGGCCGCGAGTGCTGTTCCAGGATCGGAATCGAAGATGGCCGAGGGCAATCAGTCGCCGCCGAAGGCGGAGGTCGACGATTCACCCCTCCAGCACGCCATGGATCGCAATAAGGAATGTGAGTACACACGCACATCTTCTTTCTTTCATCTTCGTTCAAAAATATTGATCTAGCGTAAGAATTTCGCGAAGAAGTAATTGCCTGTGTCGGCCAGATCTTTTGCCGAGTCTTTTAAAGAAACGCAGGTTCAAACTTCAACCACATTGAAAAAAAATTAAAATGTTTTTTTATTAATTTTTTAGAGACACGAATTTATATGTGCTTAATTTTTTTTAATTATATTACTGACAAGGAAAAAAATATTCATCACATTTTTAATTATATTTCTATTTCTTTGTTAGTTAATCGTATAAATTTAAATTATTAAATGTGATATAATTGAACACAAAATTAAATTATTAAATTAAATTATTAAATCACTTTCTCCCATTTCTAAAAATTCACGAAGAAAAGTTAAACTCTCACAATTTGGTACCAATTTCCGGCAAAATTCTAATTTTGATCGTAAATGTCATCAGATGACATGTCAATGAAAATAAATGGAAGAGATAAGAATCATCCGGACACCTTGTGTACATTAAGTTCCGTTTGCCGGCACTCGCTTTTCCTTCTTGCAATTCGCTCTGTCACCGTTTCTCGCAGTGCATCTACTCCCCCTCCCCCTGTCGTGGAAACGGAAGCGTCGCTTTTCGACGTCCGGAATAAATGATGAAAAGACCTAACGGTCCCTGTCGCGACGATCGCTTCCGATCGAATAATCGCGCACTGGGTATTCGCTATTATTATGCGATGCAGTCTGAGCTGTTTATGCGCGAGCGTGTTGCATGCTCATCGTCGCAGTTACATACCCCGCAATGTTATACGAGCGTTACCGAGCACCTCCTCGGGAAGGCGCCTATAATAATCTATATATACCTATAAAAGAAGAAGGCGCGGAGATGGCTCTTTTTAACATTCGCGGGCAACTTGCCATTATATCTCACGGCGACTGTAATCATCCGCTCATTATTCGGCGCATAGCGAGCGGCCCTCGATTATCGATTCGGAATCCGGCGATTTTTTATCCAATAAAGAAACGCTCGGAGCTTTTATCGTTGTGCAAAATGCAGCTCTCCAACCCATTCGCCACTTCCGTTACTATTACTACTACCGGCACCGGCAATTGGCCAATCGTTCTCAAGCTTAGATCCCCGTTTTGTATTCGGAACGCAACTTCCCACGGGCAGGATAGAAGTATCAGTCACAACGACTCTTATACCGCTATATTCAATGTTTTTTTATAAGCCACAGACATAATAACGAATAATTAACTATAACGAATAAGTATCTATAGATAGATACGTTTTAATTTTATGTAAGAATAATTTCTCTTTTATTGTTATAAATTATGAATGACTCTTCGTCTGCAATCTAGATCTTTTTTTCTCATTTTAGTTAATCTAGGTCTGTTTTCTCCAATTCAAATTCTTTTACTGTTCAAAGCTTTAAAAAATTCACGATAATTTTGAAATATTTCTATTATATATCAAATAGTTTTTTTTAGTTATTCAAATTAAGAAATCTTATTTAATAAAAATTGAAATTTGAATAAAAATGAAGATGAAATTTAATTTCGAAGTTTAATTTCGTTTGTGCCAAAAAAGACTTTAATTGCAGATGGAAGAATAATAATTTCCCCATGTATCTCTTAAGAAACCGAAAACTCGATTTAAAAATATTTACTCTTCAATTTTTAAATACAATTAATCTCCATACAAAATAAATTCGAGATCATAAAGTCTGTAAGGTGTTCTTAATATGCATTTACATTGAATAAACGAAAAATGATTTCAAAAAGATCGCCCGAAGACAGGCGTGTAAATATCTCTGGATGCCGCATTGAAAACTTCGCGCGGTGGGTTTCTTCCGCGGTGAATCGAACGCGTGCCCACTTTTTTCCGTCCACAAATTCCGCGGCGTATACGTATATATGCCGATTCGTCGTGGTCGACTCCTCGTTAAAGCCACAGGCCATCGCGTGCGCAGTCTTTAGAACGCGTCATTTTGTCGCGTTTATCGATCGCCTTTTTCTGTAATTACTTGCCATCAGGCGTTCTCGAGGCATTCTCCCCATCACGGTTTGTACGAAGGACGCTCATCGTGCAACGAGAGCGCACTGAACAATGCGTACCACTTTTACGAAGAAGCACAATGTCACCGTCGACGACCGTGCAAATCAGTAACGATCTTTTGAAATCTTTTCAAATAAAATTTTTTAAAAATTTATTAAGAGAGACATCGAAGTAATTTAACATAAACAGCACTATTCTATAATATAAAGTTCTAAAAAGTTGAGTTCTGCAAAAGTTTGAATAAGCGCTTTTCCTAAAGGGGTTACGAATTTTAATTTTAATAATTTAAAAGTGAATTTCTCCAAAATTTATGTGTGTGTGTGTGTATCGATGTTAAATCTCCAAAAATTTGGCGAACGAATTTCGATCAGTTACTTGATCATCTGTACGTGTGCACGCACACTGATGCGTGTGTATGCGTGACTGTCTACAGGAAAGAGACAGTGCCGGGCATTCGTGCAGACAGGTAGGTGCAGATTCGCGTGTGAGGGCCGTGGTACACGCGTGTACATATATACACACAAGAAACAGGAGGCGTGCCTATTTATAACGGTGATATCATCGCCAATTACCTACGCTTTCGCGTGGACAATCGTAAATTCTCGTAGCAGAAGGGTGCGGGTTTGATGCCTTACCGAATATCCGTCGCGATCCTTTTTTTCCATTTCTTTTTTATTTTCTTATACCTTTATATATACTTTACATATATAAATATATAAATAATATATAAAAAATATATGTTACTAATTATTTACAATTTTTTATGCATGTTATATAAAAAACATTGTAAACAATACAGTTTATATATATTTTATTATGTTATTTATGTAAAATATGTTTTTTTCTTTATGATTTTTAATATTAGATCGAATATAATTCAAATCTTACAGATTGGACAATTCTAAATTCTTTAAATCTTTCATGTCTGACTAAGAATATCCTTTTCCACTAGCTTTCACAAACTAATTATAATAATATCTGATTACATTCATAATATTCTGAAGTAAAGTGAATATAGATTAAATGTAATAAATAAAAAATGAAAAGAAATTAACATACTTGAAAAGAATAAATTTATTATTATAAATATCACAAGTATGTTATAAGTAATAATAATAATTCACGATAATGTTAAAAAAGAGTAATAAATACCATTGATAAAACAATTTCTTACTTAATTTGTATCCATTATTAATTGGTACTTTCTCATTGATTTTTATTGAAATGTTTTCAATTTCTCACTTATACGATTTTCACAGTTTACGAAATTTGTTGCAAAAACATTATATCGCATATCAGACAGAATTTCGACAAGTTACGTCAATAAAATAAGGATGTGTCTGCTTTCCCGATCGTATCTATATTTCGTAGCGTTACAAAGCGACGTAATGAATCTCTTAGAGTGCTCCTTCGCGGGTGTAATCGCGTGTACTTGAAACGCGAAAGTACGCCGGTTGCCGATTATGCCGAGCTAATTATCGTCGGCGTATCTCGCCCTAAACGACGATGCATGCACTCGTTATACCGGCGCGCGAATTTGCGCGCTCGTTTCGTAATGGGAAATTATGTCAGAATTATGCACCGTGCACTCTCAGAGGCCTCCTTTCCATCCTGTAAAACCGATAACCTCGAGTAGTTCTGCGACCGCGCGCTTAATGAAACAACATCATTAATAAAACGCGACATACTCATTCGGTCATTACAAAAATGAATGTGTTTTTTCTTCTTTCTTTTTATTACAACAATGATAGATTTGCAAACAAACGATCTATTAAAGTCCTTGCCATTGTGAATTCTCTAAAGTGGATTTCTCTCTAATTTTATAATTACCTATTCCTCAACAATTTTTAGTCGCATGATTTTCTCCAAAATAAGAAATGCTTTATGAAATCTTACTTTGTTTTTTCTTCTTAAAAACATAAATTATCTCGCATTTAAGATTCCAAGACTTCAAATATATATGATAACAATCAATCGATTAAGTTGAGCCTTCCCTAATTTTACAGCTACTGTTCTTTAAAAATTTTTAATTATGTGTTTCCAAACTCTTTCAAAGTAAAAAATGTTTTATGAATAATAAAATCTTACTTTGCATATTAAACAGCAACATAAATTATCTTGTATTTAAGAACTCCAAGATTTCAGAGTCGTTGCTCCAAGTTTAAAAAAATCGAAGCTTTGAATTCACCAGTAAATGGCGACGAAAGCGAAGGCGCGAGGCATTTTCGACGTGAAACGAATCGCGCTGAAACGAATTTTGTGCCGAGCACTAATTGTCGCCAACGATAATGCGATACGAGATTCCTCTGGAATTTCATGTAATTAAAAGGAAGATCAGCTTCCTCTTCCCCCGTAAACTGACGATGGCAAAGGCCTGCGCCGATCGTTATGCTTATCTGTTAGGTATCTGTACGAGCATCAGCGCGATACGGACGACAAATATACCTCAAGCGAGCGTCTTAGGAGAGTTTCATCGATGTTTCGCCTCATTTCTTACCTTTCGTACAGGTACCTCGCGACGACCTTCGTAACCGTTGCATTTATCAAGGCGGCGATACACAGTCGACGAGTACTAGTTAGCGTTACTGAAGAAAAATACATTATTAAGATAAGACCCTCTCGACGATTTATGGCAACGTGTTCCTATACAAAGATAGTTCCATACTATTAATCACGTATGTTTTTACAATTTCTTTTATTTTTCTCACTCTTGTTTTTTTTTTCTGCGTTTACCTTAGACGAATTAGACAATTGCATGAAATAACAAATCGAATAGTTTGAATTATGATGCGATACTCCGAGCATCCACTTTTTATTGATCGTTCGTTACTGAAGGTGTCTCCTTGTATAAGCAAGTTAACTTAACAAGACGGATTTACGTCGACGGGATCGTATCTTCGATTCTTGGAGGTAGGTTAAAATCTAGAAAAACTGATTCGATCAGCA